GCCTCGCACCGAGGACCTATCCACGTCATCATTTACCCAGAATGCTTTGCGTGCAAATAAAATGGCCCCAAATATATTTTTAAAGTTTTAGTTTAAAAATTATAAAAACTAAACAGCCTACAGTATTTTTACAGTCTTTATTTTACAGTTAAAATATATGTTTATCAAATAAAGTCTAATGTTACAACTAATCAGGATCCCTTTAAAGAGAGTAATTAAAGCTGAAACTGTTGATGACACACCTCAGTCTGTGACTCTCTGAGTTGTCAAACATTTAGTTCACCACGACTGGTTCCCTCAAAACAGATCTCCAGATGATTCTCCAACATTTACACAACCAACATGAAACATGAACTATTAATAATGTCAGTCATTCACTTCCTTTAACCAGGCATTCTAATGTTTATCATGTTCTGTCACTTCAAAATGGAAATCATTAAACATTGTGACTGAGCTGAGAGTTAAAACTGCTTTTGAAGAACTCTAATTAGATTTGTTTTAATGTTTCATCAACAGGGCTTCAAATRTTCACAAGTTCTGGTCGAGGTTTCAGACTGATTCAGCCTCACGTGTCTGAGATTTATGAAGACCAGAACCTGACATCTCCTGCAGACAACTGTCACAGTGTGAACACATCAAACTGTCAAACCCAGAGCACTAAGTGGTTGTTTGTAGACGATTAGAGGAGCAGAACAGTAGCTGTTTGCTCTATTAAAGATTACATTATCAGTTTGTCCAAGAGCTGAACRGACAGCTGCCTGCAGACTTATAAATGAGGTCATGTGTTAATCTGGAAGTGTCAAACATCATCCAGCCTCTCTGATTAAAAGATTAGCTTTGTGTTTCTGATGAGAGGACGAGCGAGGCCGACGAGCTGCTGCTTCTCTCTCTCAGGACAAGAACCTGAGAAAAGTGGCTGTGCACCAAACACCAGGCTCTGTCTGTGCTGCCGTCCATGCAAACAGCCTGTTTATCTTTCCTTCAGCCTTCCTGCCGAGCTTCGGCCTTAAATCATGTGATCCTAAACAAGGAAAAGCTTTCTCTGAACATCTAAACTCAATTAGGAGGATCACTTTGTGACTTGAAAGCCTTCTGACCAGAACTACTGGACTTTTTGTCTCTGTTCTGATGGTTTAACTGGACTCAGCTGAGGGAACAGTTCAGTTCTGTGAATAAACTGCTGATGTTAAACTAAATAACRACACTCGAGTCAAAATAAACCAAAGTGTCCTGATTAGATTTATACAACTCATCAGATCAGGACTGCAAATTTAAACACATGAATCACTTTTTCTTCTTGTGTTTTGATGTTTAATTGAGTTGAACAAAGCGAAGCAGCTGGACTTTTTTCTGAAAAGCTTTAAAACTTTGCATTTGAGCTGAGAAAGATCTAAAACATCAGAAAAGAATCTGTCTTGTGTAGCATTTTGTCAAACACTGAGCCTGCTTTGTGTTTTGCTTTTAACACTTTTAGTTGCTTTAAGAACTCACAAATAATCCGTTTGTAAAAGCATGATTGAAACTTTAATAAACTTTTGTTGTGAAGTGGCGCCATTTTTCTTGTCTACCTGTGAAAAATCCAATCAGAATAAAAGTGTGTGGTGTCGTTTGTAAAGTTACACAGTCAAACATTACCACCAATATTTCTGATTTATTTAGTCTTTTATAAGANAAACCCGTCTGGATAACAGCAGACTGGCTGTTCGTAAAATATACGACAGGTCTGGACCACTCGTAAATTTTGTTCGTATCTGAAAAAAATCGTAGAATACGAAAACATTGGTGAATGCCAAAAATTCTCCTAAATCACTCGTACGCACAATTTAAGAACAAATCTGTGCGTATGAACGGTTCTTGCATGAGGCCCAATGTTTAGACCAACGGTGCTGGGTAACTTTGCCAAGATTTGGTAATGAGTAAACAGGGTTTCCCCTACATGTAATTGATCATGGCACACCGCCACACCAAAATAGAAGCCGCCACACCTTCGGAATGAAATTTTTTTTCCTTAACCTAAAATAGGGGTTGACAATTAGGCTGTCCGAGACAACCCATTTTTGTTTCAGACAATCAGATCCCACCTCCTAAAGGACCTAGATTTAAGTTTTCCTCTGTGGGTGTTTGTCATTGTAAAAATGAATGGGAGAAAAAAACCTTGTTAAAGCTGTCTAGGGATTAAACTGACGGTTCTTTCATCCAATAAAGAGAACCACAGTCAAAGTTTTACCCAATGAGAACAGAGCAGAGCGGGTCATGCCGTCTGACTGACAGCGCTGACTTTTTTACTTTCTCTGTGGGTGTGGGAGTCAGCTGCACTCAGCTCATGTGAACACCTCCCAGGAAAGCCCTCAGCATTTCCTGGACTATTTTCCACCAAGAATTACATCGTATCTTATATATATTATTTTTCTAAAAGCAGCTTGCAGCATTTCTCCTGTAACACTGTGTGTTCACGAGCACAACAAAACCGCCACAGTTCACCTGATTGTTTCAAAGCGAGGTGGAGCGACTTACAGCAGCTGAACCTGTCCACCTGTAGCGCAGCTCCGACCAGCCCGGGACTTAGAGGCCACATGTCAACCCATTCAGAAGTTTAACTGTATAATGAGCATCAAAAAACTGTAATTTGCACAAAAAACAGTATTACGTAATCACATGCAGGTGGGGTGGAGGTGCAAGCAGACCACAGCTGCGCGGGGTGGGGAGGAGCAGGAGGGTCTTTTAAAGATGTGTCTACGTTTGACTTTCATTTTTTTCTAAAATCACAGAGTTCTCTGAGTCAGCTTCAGGTGTTTGTAGTTAATCATAATATTCTAAATTTAACCAGGTGTTTCAATGCCTTTAAATTACACAATCATTTTACTGGAGAAACTGTCAGTTTGGTTAAAAAAACAGTAAATTGTGTTTTTTTTCTGTGCAGAGAACTTCCTCTGCTGTAATTTTTTTCAAATAAATATATCAAAGCTCCTCAGTTGAAAACACTAAAATTATAGAAAAGATGTTTAAAAACCTTTCCTCAGAAAGTCTTCAGTCCTAAGAACATTGAATGGTAACTTTTAATAAGGTCGTGTGCACAGTTTACTCTTACTTAAATAAAAA